AGACAGAGAGAGAGAGAGAGAGAGAGAGAGAGAGAGAGAGAGAGAGAGAGAGAGAGAGAGAGAGAGAGAGAGAGAGAGAGAGAGAAAGAGAGAGAGAGTTACGCCGAGTCTCCTACGCTATGCTATTATCGAACAAACCACATCGATTTTTTCTCAAGTCTTTCTGTCTGTTCTTGCTAGGTGGCGGCGCACAACCTCTGGTTCGGCCTTCCCATCAACGAGGCAATTGACACTCTGAGGTTTCACCATCAGCTAGTTCCGGAAGCAATCATTTACGAACAGGGCTTCAGCGAGGTACAGTGCAACGTGTTGATTCCAGCACAAAGAGGGGGGGGGACACAGGTGCTAAGTTGGAAATGAAACTGCCGAATCGATTACTATCTTCCCGCGCAAATGAAATATTTCGATTGTCGTGTGTCGTCGAAATTTTCGCCGAATTTACAATATAATATTACCATATCAAACAAAAATAAACCCGCGCGCGAGTTTCCATGAGTTGCTGCATTCTCCGAGTCAAGCCGCCATATTGTAAACCCACTACGATTCTCGTCTGTCTGCTTCTTTTTCGCGAATTCGACGGCTCTCTAATGACTGGAGAAGGTCGTTTGAAGTTCGTTCTACCGTCTCTCCCCCTTCCTTTTGCGCCCTTTCTCTTTCGAAAGCTCTCTATCGACTGGAAAAGGTCGTTTGACGAAGGTTCTACCGTCTCTCTGCGCTTTCTCTTGCTTCTTCTCTGTTGCTTAGAGTTGCATAGCTACAGAAATGAATAGAGTGACTAGCGCTAGGGTTGTGTGTATACGAGGTTGCGTGCTGGAGGTGCGCACTAAACCCGAGTCCGTAGGCGACTTTCGGATCCGGATTTCTTAGTTTGCAGAAATTTCCAATCTTTATTCCGCCCGCTGATATTCCCAAGTGCGCGTATTCGGCTGCATGTTAGATGTTTAGTCTTGTGATATTTTCACCCGTCGTTTTCGTATAGAAATAGCTCGAGAGATTATTTAAAAAACCCTAATGAAAAGCAATTGGTCTAACTAAAGTCGTGAATGGAACTACAACTCTTAACCGTCTCTCTTTCTTTCTCGCTCTCTCTCTCTCTCTCTTTCTCTCTCTCTTTTCTCTCTCCATCTCTCCCTCTTTCTCTCTTTCATGTCGTAGGACGACATAGATGATCTACGGGAGAAGAAAGGCCACCAAAATACGACTTGCTACGTCCAGACATTCTCCGTCGTGCAGGCCATCTCCGCATCGATCGCCGGAGTTCTACGAGCCGCCGCCGACCACCGGAAGCACGGCACCGTTGATGGATACTGACCGGACACGCCGCCATGCGCCGTTGTTTTTTTCATAGCAGATGCATTGTGGGTACTTTGTGTGTGTGCGGCTTCCGCCGCGGCGTCTGCGTGGGGAAAAATTGACGAAAGATTTGCGCGCGGGTGAACAAATTGTGTCTTTGGTGATTTTTGTCATTTTTGTTCGGGGAATGCGAGCGGAATTAATTATGCGACGAGATGAAAAGCTCGAGATAAAATACGAAATACGAAATACGAAATGGTATTTATGAAACGAATAATTCATGTTCGTTCGTTTACTTTGCGATGAAGTGTCTAAAAACCATTCACGGTGATGTTAAGTGTCCGTGAGTGAGTGTGTGTGTGTGTGTGTGTGTGTGTGTGTGTGTGTGTGTGTGTGTG